GAGCACTGATAGCCACTAATTCAGGTGTACATAGGCACAGGTACTTGATAGAAAACAGTCTATTATAAAGCATCACTTAAAAGCTGTAAGCAGTCTATGCAGGTAGGAGTAAGTCTTATACAGATTGGGTTTGCCTGTTCTTCATACCAAATCCTTGATTCTGATACTCAGTTACAGGTCACCCACCCAAGCACCTTGATATGTAGATACAAGTAGGCGTTCTTTACTTCTGGATTTGAAAAGATGACAAAGGGATTGAGTGGGAATGATTAATTTCATACTGGGGAATGATGATTGCTGGTTATATCACTTACCACACAATAGATGTATTTAAATGTAACAGCTGTAACCAGCATAGGATGGAATTCTGATATCAGACTTAGGTGATAAACTTAAATTGACATTGGAAAAGAAGTTTCCAGCTTCCTACTTCAGTGTAGTCCAGATTTTTTGACCGCTGATACTGCTGATCCTCCTCTGTTACAGAAGCTTGGTCTCACATTATCTGTTTTGAGAGTTCACCATATCATTGCAGAGCCTTCATTTCATTCAGTGGAAGTCCTTACATCTGACATAATCAGATATGTCTGGTTAAAAACTAGTTGGCCAGATGCGGTGGCTCACACCTGTAATCCCAGCACTTTGGGAGGCCGAGGCGGGTGGATCATGAGGTCAGGAGTTCGAGACCAGCCTGACCAACATGGTGAAACCCAGTCTCTACTAAAAACACAAAAATTAGCTGGGCATGGTGGTATGTACCTGTAATCCCAGCTACTCAGGAGGCTGAGGCAGGAGACCTGCTTGAACTCGGGAGGCAGAGGTTGTAGTGAGCCAAGAGCAGGCCACAGCACTCCAGCCTGGATAACAGAGAGACTCCATCTCTGCCCCACCCCGCAAAAAAAGAAAAAAAAAAACTAGCTAAGAAAAAGTTATTTGAATTATACGTTTTGAATTTTTAAAATCTGAACTTAAAAAAGTCCACTCATTTTCCAGTCCTTGGGAAAAGCAAAGTCAAAGCCTTGTCCTGAGTATGGTGCTACTGTTTGATTTTTTTTTTTTCTGTATCAATAAAACAAGCGGAATCAATAATGCATTATTCAGTATTTCCAGTTTTTGTCTCTTAAAAATAGCCAGAGACTTTTGCATTCAAACATGTGCAAAAAGTCCAGCTCCTCCTAGACTGCTGCAATTTGCTTGAATCTTTTGCCATTGTCTCCCCCACATCTAATCCAATAGCTGACTTTTTTTCATCTTTTTTGTGACTTGCTTTTATTTAGCCTTTCCAAAGCATTCATCTTACCCAATTAGCCACTTAAGAAATACCAGGTTTGGTCTTGTCCTCCTGTGTAATCAATTAACATAACATTTTGTTCAATTATTTGATGATAATCCACTGAACTGCTAGGGGTAGAAGTGTTCAGAAAGTGCACACTGGTTTTCTAGAAGCACTTGGTGGGCCATGGGCATCTAGCAATATGTTTTACAGAGAAAAAGGTGATTATTTTCAAGAAGTCCTTGGCCTTACATGTGCACATGTCCAACACTAACTTTATTTAATGGAGTTTTGTTCAATTGCTCGCTGCCTTGATGTATCTGACAAAATGCCTACTGTCTGCCGTGTTAACCCTGACGATTTCTTTCATCAGTTTTCTCAGCTTTGCAGCATTCTTGCTAAAACAACAAAAACCCACTCTGTCTAGTTATATTCTTTCTGATATAGAGAGCTATTAAGGAGGATTGTATTATATACCCTTTTGGCAAGAAGAAACATTTTGTGATTGAAGGCTGAGCTGGACAATGGTCCCGGGAAGCATGAGTAGTTTCCTGGACCCTCTTGTGTAATGTGTAATGGACCTGTACAAGTGCTTCATCTTGGGCTCTGCTTTCAGGGAACCAGCCCCTCCTGAGATGAGGATTTATGGGGCAAGTAAAGAAGGCCTGTTCTCATTAACTGTAAGAAACCTGTAAGGAAGAGTGAGAAGCAGGAGGATGCAGAGAAAGAAGCTAAGAAAGAATGTGGCTTCAGGTGAAGGCTCAGCCTGAGCCCAGGGGAACCCTGGACTACACTGTGTTTCTTGCCTTGAAGCCACCACTGGGGCAGGGAGTCGCAAAGCAATGTAACCAGAGAACTGCAGCTTCCATCATCCCAGTGCAATCCTCCAAAGAAAGTTGAAGTTATGTGAGCAGGTAGTGGCAGCTAAGCAATGCATGCGTAAAAACTATATCAATAAAAGCAGTAAAAGGGAATCTGTGTAGATGATTAACTGCAAATTCACAGAATATCAGATAGCAAACGTGTGATATTTTTAAAATAACTACTTTTACTGGACCCAACTTATGAGCCTCCCTAAATTTTCTGGGTTTCTCTTGTCTCTTGGGTCCTAAACTGGTTAGACAAAAAGAGACCAGGCCCAATTTCCAAATGTCACCAGCTGACCCGTCTTCTCTGGGGAGGCCATGTTCAACATGTCCTCCATTATGCCTACCACCACGGGAAGTGCAGCAGCTGCAGAGTCCAGACCTGACCCAAGGAAACTCACACAGACTGCTGATTCGCCTATCCTGTTTCCAGACTCAAACACAAAGCGTCATACAGTTAAAATGTCATTCAGTGAGGCATGGCATTTGGCTTTTGTAGTGGTTGTCCCAAGGGGCCATACGCACAACCAGGAAGAACATAGGAGTTAAATGCCCGTGGGGGGAGTTTTAACCAGCAGGAGGCAATTTATAGATAAATTCCATTTGGTCTTTTCCTCTGGTGGACTGTTTTGAGCTGCTGTGGTTCTCTAGAGCATGTCTAGAGATTGTCCCTTGTGACTGAGCAAGTGGCTCTATTTTCCTTTCTGAAGCTGTGGCTGGCAAATCTGCTTTCCATTCTTCCTTGTTTCACTTCCCCTTTCCCTTCACTCTTCCTGCCCTGCAATTGCACCTCTTCACCTCCCACAACATGTGTTAGCACACAATCTTAGCCTGATTTCCAAAATCGACAACAAAAACAAAAACATGCCAAAACAGAACTGAAGGCAAAGACAGTACCCCTAGAGATCGAAGTTTCAGTACATGTGTAAATCCCCTCAGTGGTGGAGTTTCACTGTAGAACATCAGGAGAGAGATTCTGAGAGTAATCCTGATATTGTTCTTTTGTTCTTTTTCTATCTAGACAGTCAATCCTATTAAAATCTAAGTGGATGCTAAGGAGCAGCTCCAGGATGCTACAAAGAGTTTTCCTTTGTTAAGAGTCTTTCACAAACTAGCTCAGCACCATGAGCGCTGTGGCGAAGCATAGAAAGTAAAACAATGCAGAGGGGAATGTAGCACCCTAGAAGCTGCCTTTCCTCAAAGGAATACAGAACATTTGTGAACTGGCATGCTGATGATAGTGATGCAAAACATTCTTCTTTTTCAAAAAACAGAACCGACTTGTTCTGTGGCTCTGGCCAGATTGAGGCCAGGACTAGTCTTTTTAAAACAATATTGACAGATAACATTATATATTTTACTGTGTACAACATGATGTTGTAAAATACATATACGTTGTGAAATGGCTTTGAGCGTTACTAATGTGCAGGCTAGAGAATCTGTCCCAACTGCAAGTGATGTTCCCATCATCATTGTCACAATTAGTACTGATGGCTGTGGTCAATTTAGTCTGTAGCTATCAAGATGGGTATGGGGTAGTTGTTCTGTTTTTGCTATTTTATGCTTGTAGAAATGGTCTCAATTTTCTCTTCTGTCTGATTAGTCTTAGCATATGGGTTTCTTTTTTGCCATATTCTATTGCAGAGGCTGCCTCTCTCTGCCTTTCTCCCTCACATCTGGAATCCAGCCAAAATGTACTAGAAAAAGATGCTTCTCACATTTCAGCCCTTTTGTAAGGGTGCTGATTGCAACTTGGGTAACTTCAGTATAATCTAAGGTGGAAGCTTTCTGCTGCTTTTGAGGGAAAAAAAAATAAATGTCTAAAAATAAAACCTAGGCATAAAAATAGGGCCAAATACTCATTAACTGCCTCACTTAGCTGAATGCTGAAATTATTTCAATAGCACTAAATCAAGCCTTTGTGAGGAAGAGGTTGGGGTTTTTTTTTTAATTTGTATTATTTTATCTTAGATGATAAATGGGTTACTGTAATTTGTAATTTTATTCAAAACTTGAATTAAATAGTCCTCAAAGCCTCAATTTTCAGCTTATGCTCATGCTGACCCTTGAATTAGAGTACTTGTGTTCACAAGTCTCCTGGAATGTATTTTGTGAGCTGCCGTGGGAAAGGTTGGGGTGACAGACAGGACCAGGAGCCGGAGTATTCAAGGCTTGGGATGCTAGGGTTAAAAATTTGGATCTTATTCTAAGTGTGGTGGGAAGCCACTGGAGGGATTTAATTATGAGAATATTATAGAATGACTTCTATTTTCAAAATATGACTCCTGACTGCTGTATTGATAGTAGATTGAAAGGAGATAACAGTAGGAAAAGGGTAACTAGCCAAATGCCTATTTGTAGATATCCAGGTAAGTGATAGTGGCCTTTGGAGCAGGATGGTAATAGTAGAGTTGGAGAGAAGTGGACAAATAATGGAGTTTATCTAATTCATTAACAACAACAACAAAGAGATTGATTAATAGATTAGATATGGGGCATGAGAGAACGGAGGAGTCAAGATTGATTTCTAAGTTTCTGGCCCAAACAACTGGAAGAATTTGGTACTAGTTATTGAGATGAAGACTGGAGGAAGAACAGGATACTTTTTGCTGTTTTGTTGTGTTTAGGGTGGGTCATAGGGGAATGGAAAAGGGAATGAGCTGGAAATAAGGGCTCACGTTAACTTTGGGCATCTAAATGAACAGTTCAGAAGAACCGTTGAATGTATGAACTTGACCCAGTAGATAAGTTTGATAATCCTTGATGTGAAGATTACATTCAGTCATGAGACAAACTCGCCTAAGGAGAGAGTAGAGAGAAAGTAAAAAACCTGAGAACATTCCATATTTCCACATAAATAGGGCAAGTAGAAGAGAACCCATAAAGGACTAAGAAGGAACAGCAGTGAGGAAGGAAAAACTAGGAGAGTCTGATGTTCCAGAAACCAAGAGAAGACTCTTAACAAAGGAAGGTAACAGTCAATTACATTAAATGCTGCTGTGAAGTTGAGTTAGAGGAGGAAAAACAATGTCACCATTTTTGGTGTTCTTGGTGACACTGACAAGGGCAGCTCATGACATGTCATGCGGAAAAGAGCCGAGAGTTGATAGGAGATTGTAAAGTGGGAAACGAAGACAGCTATTTAGACAATTAATTCAAAAAATTAATGGAGCTAAGAAATAGGTAATCAAGAGTAAGGGGAGAATTTTTTTTCCTCATGTTCCTAAGATGGGTGCTTGGAGCATTTATGCTTATAGAATTGATTCAGCAGAGAGAGAAATCCTGATGATGCAGTAGAAAGGGAATATGATTGCAGGGACAGATTTCTCGAATGCAGAAAGGTGTGAGATGGAGAGCACAGTGAAGGGTTTGGCCTTGGATAAGAGCAGAAGGAGAGGCAAAAAGAGTGCACCTGCATGTTAATAGGTTGGTTGAGCTAGCAATAGGAGGATGAGGGAGTAGCCATCATCAATCACAGCAATTAATGAAGTAAGAGCGTCAGCTGGAAGGGAGATGGGAAAAGGGAATGTCAGTTTCACAAGAAGGTAGCAAATATTGGAGTCAACCTAGGCAGTGGGAAGATGAACCTCTAGTAGGACAATGGGCATGGAATGCTTCAAAGTTACACTAAACAAGATGAATTTGAGTGAATGTTTGCTTGGAAAGAGACTGTAATTAAATTTTAAGTTTTTTTTAATGACAGAGGCAAAAAGTATTATTACATGTTTACATATTTTCCTAGAAGAAAAATGAGTTTAATAATTACTTGCAATCTTAGTATTCGGAGACAATCACTGTGATATCCTTTTATATATTATACATTCAAATACTTCCATAGGAAGAAATATGAAGGTCTTAATTTTGATAACGAATACTATTTTAGAGCACTTTTGACTTTCCCAAGTATCTTAGTTATTGCTCTAAGAGAAATAAAAATAATTAGAGTAATAATTTTGTCATATTGCAAACATACTTCTATATTTTTGTTGCTTTTTTCATTTTTGTAGAGATATATCTGTAATAGGAAATGTACGGTTATGTTAAAAGGCCTTCTTCCTAAGGTTGTGTTTTCAATAACTTTCTTATTGTCTTTAAAATGTAAAAATGAAACTAAATTATTAATCTACCAGGCTTTATTTTGAAAAGATGTGATTAAGAAATCTAATTTTACTTTTTTAAAAGAATTGTTATTTTAGATTCAGGAGACACATGTGCAGGCTTGTTACAGATCGACAATTGCATGATTAATTTCACTTTTTAGGATAGTTTTAAGTCATTCTTAAATCACATATCCCATAACAAATATAGAATATATTCTTGTAATAGTAGAGCTCCCAAATTATTATTATTATTATTTTTTTTTTTTGAGACAAAGTCTCACTGTCTTACCCAGGCTGGAGTGCAGTGGTGCAATCTCAGCTCACTGCAACCTCTGCCTCCCTGGTTCGAGCGATTCTCCTGTCTCAGCCTCCTGAGTAGCTGGGACTATAGGCACACACCACCACACCAGGCTAATTTTTGTATTTTTAGTAAAGACGGGGTTTCACCATGTTGGCCAGGCTGGCCTTGAACTCCTGACCTCAAGCACTCCGCTTGCCTTGGTCTGCTAAAGTGCTGGGCTTACAGGTGTGATCAACCACATTTAGCCACAAATTATATCCTTAAAACTTTCTTTTAGAGATTTTAAAACCATGTATTGCTATTTTTTAAACAACCCATTTGTTACACTGTAAATATTATCATTAATCCTATCATCTGGGAAAATCAGTTATATTTTACTTACTTGAAACAGTATTGTGGGTACACGTTTTGCCATCTATATTTTCTTGCTTTTTTGAGTTTTTTTTTTTTAAATACTCTGTTAACCATGAATTTAATGGCTTGAACTAGTATTGGATATGTAAAAATATGTTTTCAGGTTTTAGTTGTTCTTTATGTATGATAATAAATAACATCATAGTTAACACCACTGGCACTTAATATTGAATTGAAAGTGGTTTTAGTATTTTCTGTCATAAAAGCAATATGTCTATGTAGAAAGCTTTAAACAAACTATTTTCCAGAGAACCACTGTTGCATATATACCGAATCTTTATTCATTCAAGAGCCATGTTTCAGCACCTCTTATGTAGCAGGCACTGCTTCAGATATGAAACCTACTCTTCAGATTTAACATCCTCATATATTTAGTCATATCGCTTGTCAGTATCCTATGAGCAGAAATGTGTATGCTTTTAAAAAATGAACTATGCTATTTAGAAATTGTATTGTAATCTAATTTTTTTCCTATAAACTATTAAGAAATTTCTTCCATGCCATTGAAACATCCTTTACAATATCATATTTAATGGCTACAAAAGAATTTATTCATGTGAATATACTACTCTTTTCCAATTCCCTTTTGCATTTTAAATCCATAACATGTGCACTTTACTTCTCTTTGACAGTATGACTAATATGTCCTGCACAAGACATGAAGGCACAGAGAGTGCTGTCTGTCTTCCTCATTCTCACATCATCTCTGAGTGGATTTCAAGGTAATTTCCTCTGTAATACAAGTGTTAGCTATTTTCATCATCAGATAAGAAACATGAGCACACAATGCAAGGTGGCTATTTCCTCCATAGCCATAGCATCGTGAACTATCCTTAATGATCAGTTAATCAGAAGCAAGGAACAGGCGGAGAGTCTGCATGAAGACTAAAAATTATATATATTTTTTCTGTCCGCTCTGATTAAGACTCTTTCTAATCTATTATCTGCTACCAGAAATAAGTTCTATAGAAAGGCAAGTTTGATTTATTGATTTTTTTTTTTAAGTGTAAGCTTGGTACTTACCACTTGACAGAAGGCATTATCAGCTTTCCTAGGTCCTGTGACAGGCATTCTTAATTATCCAGTGAAACATTAGAGGGGTTTAGCAGAGCAATTAGGGAGCTCCACAGTCACTCTTTTCCTTTCTCATCTTTCCGTGTCTTTCTCTCATCATAATGCCACATCCCTCTAGCTCTCTGCAGAGAAACTGAGGGACGTGGTAGGGTAGAAAGAATCCCAGAGGGGAAGGCAGAGGATAAAGACTGTGACAGAGGCATTTGAGCACCCAGTTCTTCCATCTTGGGTGGCCTGGGCATGATCCAAAGGAGTGACTCCATTGTCTAAAAAATAAGGCCCTTTCCAGTCCTAATATCTTAGAATCCATAGAGAGGGCACAAGATTTACTTAAAATATTTTGTAAATCAAAGAAGTTAGATTACTGCCTTCAATGATGGGAAGTATCTGGGTATATTTTCTTTGTAAAAATCCCTTATTTTGTTGATTTCATTTACTTTTTGAAATCAACTTGTGAAGTTGACAGTGAAAACAAAACAAAATAAGTAAATCAAGAGAACTGGGGATTGGGCTTCCACATTTATCTCCAGATATCCCTTACCTACATTTTGACCAATTCAGCACATCCTGAGAGCAGTCTTAAAGTCAAAGCAAATAAGTGACTCCGCTTCCCTTTTGGACTTCTGCTCATGTCCTCTCCTGTTTAGATCTAGTGTACAGATATTCCTATCAGATTCCCGAACCCAGCATTGTTTTCTACAGGCTCCAAAAATTTTCTTACCCAACCAAGCTGAGTTTATTCCATTCTTTCAGGGCCTGATGGCTATAGCTAGCTAGATAAACTAGTTTATTATTGCTATATTAGGAGTTAAATGTGAATGTGTTCTGGGAATGATATCAAAAGGAGTCTTTTAACATACATGATTTCCAAGCCAGGACTGGAAGAGAGATGAGACTATTGATCAAGTGGGCAGCAAACCAGTGTTTCTATGCCCTGGGCTATTACCAATTCTCCCCCCAGTTACATTGAATAAAACAGATATTCAATTAAAATTAAAACTCAAACACAGAGCTGTATGGTTTGTTTCTAATAACCAGACAACAAGTGTTTTTGATGATGTGGTCCATTAATAATCAGGCTGCTAACCTAGGAAGGTTCTCCTAGGTAGTTCTGGTATAATCGTGAACATGCACACATCACTAATTCTCTTCCTGGCTTCTCTGTTCTTGACTGTAGACACTTTCATTTTGGCTTTCTTTGGTAATATTTATATGAATGAACTAACCGTCATTGGAAGACTTGATGAAGATGTAATCCTCCCTTCGTCGTTTGAGAGTGGATCTGAAGTGATAATACACTGGAAGTATCAAGATAGATACAGTGTTCACAGTTACTTCAAAGGCAGTGATCATTTGGGAAACCAAGATCCCAGATATGCAAACAGGACCTCCCTTTTCTATAATGAGATTCAAAATGGGAATGCATCTCTATTATTCAGAAGATTAAGCCTTCTGGATGAAGGAATTTATACCTGCTATGTAGGAACAAAAATTCAAAGCATTACAAACAAAGTGGTGCTAAAGGTGGGAGGTAAGTGTACGTGTAAAGTTTCATGAAACGTAGTGATGACATTATTTCACGTTATTAGTAAACGTCTTTTTCCTAACTTAATATGCCATGAGCTTCCTTCCAAGTCAATACACAGAAATCTACTTGTTTCCAATGCACAGTATCTTGTAGTATACTAATGTTATAAATGATACACCTGTTCCCCTGTTGGTGGATATTCAGGCATTTCCAGTGTTTTACATTACACGCTTGTGATGAACATCCTTGTAGTTCTACCTAATACTGGGAAATAACCTGAAAGCAAAGTACCAGACGATTTAAATACATTACCGACACTAGCAGCCTAAGAGTGTCCACTTTCCCCTTAGTTGTATCAGTACCAAGTATCTGCCGATATGATGACTGAAAAAATATTGAATTGCTGATATAAATTGCATTTTTCTGTATTATAAATGAGGTTTTTACATTATATGCTTTCCTTCTCTGTCTTAACTATATATAACACAATACCTATATAACTCTAAGCCATTAATATAGCTAATATGTATAGTTATACATGGTTAATATCACTCAAACACAGCTTCATGGTGGTTATATTATATAGTTAATATAACTATATAATATATTAACTGTATTAATGTATTAATTGTTTCTAATTCCCATAGTTATATTGAACCAAACAGGTATTTGATTAAAATTGAAGAAACTCACAGAGTTTCATGGTTTCCAATTACTAGATTACCAAGAGTTCCTGAATGATGTGCTCTGTTAATGATCAGGCTGCTGATTATCAATGTATATGTAATATAGTTAGTAGGTAGTATAATATATAGTACAATTTTACACATAGATATAGATATATACACACACATATGCAGTATTTTCTAATGGGTTGTTTTTCCCAGCACTTGTTTCTTTTTCTTCTGTCCCTTTCAGCTGCTTCAGACCTTGATTCATAAATCACAAAATTTTGTGTAAACAGAGTCAAATAGGCGCTCTGAGTGAGTATTTGCGGAGTATAGAATGCCACGTGAACTCTACTTTACAGACTTAGACACCCTCATTTTGGTTGCCCAATGAGGCCATTAGATTTCTTTTCTAGCTATGTTTCTAGAGAATTGAGATTGCTAGTTGCCACATACCCATGCCTGCTCTTTTTTATTTTTTTCTAGATAACTACACCGTATCTTTAGGTTCTACAGAGTTTTGGGTTGTTTTTCCTTTCAGTAACTGCCAAGTTTTGCTCATAAAACTTAGCTTTTCATTTCATGGGTATTAGAAAGTATTCTGCACAGATGGCCATAAAGAAGCTAACGATGGCAGTTCTTCACGTGCCCTTCTTTCTCCTATGCAGTTTTTCTCACACCCGTGATGAAGTATGAAAAGAAGAACACAAACAGCTTCTTAATATGCAGCGTGTTAAGTGTTTATCCTCGTCCAGTTATCACGTGGAAAATGGACAACACACCTATCCCTGAAAACAATATGGAAGAAACAGGGTCTTTGGGCTCTTTTTCTATTAACAGCATACTGGATGTTACAGGATCACATTCATCTTATGAATGTACGATCAAAAATTCACTGCTGAGCCAAACATGGACAGGGCGCTGGACAATGAAAGGTAGGCTCCACGGGACTTTCTGTGTACAAGGGCTATGTCAAGGTTGGGGGGAAATGGGGACTGATTTACAAGGAAATGAAGATGAAAGAAAAGAAAGGAAATCCATCTGCGGCAGTTAGAAGACCGAGACCGGAGCCCTAGGGTTGGTTCTTACTGGCTGTGTTACGTTAAGCCATCGTTCTTACTTTTGAACATTAGTACTTCATTGATAAAATAGAAGTAATTCTTACCTTTCTAGGTATTTGTGAATTGAATGAAAACATTTATGAAATGTAAAGATGCAAATCTATGCTTGAATATTAGTGCTCTTCTCAATGGCCCATCCTTCAAACAGGATTTTCTACCAGCATTGCTCTTTAAAAGCTCAAAGGAGAAAGAATACTTGTCCCTCAGCAGATTACAACCTCCAATCTTTCAATTAAACATAATATTAATTACTGTTATTGCTTCTTTTTAGTTTCTTTACATAGTATTAGCCCATCAACCTCTATCCAACACCTCTATCACAACATGGTCAGTTTTTAGCACTCTTTCTTCTCATTTATTTGAACAGATCCAAACTCTGATCAATCTCTATATGCAAAACCTACTGTTTAATAAAACTTAATTTACTATCTCCATATAAATTCCAAGAAAATTTGTTTTACATTTTATTTGTAGCAAAGCAAAAAATTTTCTGTCAATCTCCCTTATAGAGGGAAAATGGAGGTTACCTATTTTTTTCAGCCTTCCTTTTCCTAGCATCTCATATTCCCAGAATGCTCACCAAAAACATACTGAAATTGTTCGTGATTCACCACATTTACTGAGTCAGTGTTAAAGGCATGAGTACCCAATGTTCATTTTCCATCAGGCAGGCAGCAATGGAAATATGGGAAAGAGTTGCAAATGTTACTATTATAAATATTTTCCTTGGAAAATCCTAATTTCTCATGTTCATTTAGAATTGAGTGTCTTGAAGCATGAACAGTTCTTTAGGCTCAGTACTGTTTGGTCCCACTGAAAAGCCATTATGTGCCAAGCTTTGTTGCTCAGACTGTGAACTTAAGAACATGGTCTCTACTGATTTGGGGATCCACAGTATCTAGTACAAATATAAAATTTAAACTAGGAACATAGCTTACAAAGGGAGTGATTAATTCTCTTCTCTGTGGTTGGACATGAATGGGGTTGTTATAGAATATGGGCTTAAGAAAGTTGCATAAAGGCAGAATTTTAGAAGAGTAGCAGGACATTCCAGAACAAGAATATTCCAGGTAAAAAGCATACAAAAGTAAAATTGCCTGGAGTTTGTGGAATCAACAGATCAAGAGATGAACCTGGAGAGGGAGGAAAAAAAAACAGATGAAAGACCTTTTACACCTTGGTAAGGAGCTTGTTGAGTCTTGGAGGTAGGATGGATCCAAAGAGGGATCTGAAGCATCAGAGAAGCCCTGAATTTCCTTTTCAGAAGGCTTGCTTTGGTATCAATCTTCTGCAGGTAGACTGGAAGGCAGGCGAGTCTAGAGCCTGGGAGAATAATCCAGGACACTCCGTAGAGGTCAGCCTACAGCACTACACAGCAGGAAGGACAAGATGGAGCTGGGTCTGCAGGGGCAAGCTGAGAAAACCCAGCAGAGTCCTTCTTCTAAAAGAGCTCAGTCCAGTGGGGGTTGCCTGCACACAGCTGTAAATATTCTTACATGCAGAAAAAGAGATTTTGTCTAGACAAAGAGATTAAGAAGTAGTGAGGCCATAAAAGTTAGAGACCACTAGAGCAGGTAGGGTAACAAAAGGAGGTGTTCTGGGGAACATCAGCATTTGAGGGGCCAACAGAAGGAGAAGATTGAGTTTAATAGGCTAGTAGTTGGTAGCAGCATGCCTCAGGGCCTCATACATACTTCTATGAATGCAGGTTGTATTGGGCATCTTCTTCCAGCAGAGCTTGTTTTCATTGCAATTAAAGACTTGCTTTGGATGGAAATGTGGCTGTAGCTTCATCATCAGCAGACATAGCATCTCTAGTAATTTTTATATTTTTCAGTCCAAGCTTATTTCTGAGTACTTACTGTCAGTTTCTGAGTTAAAACAAGTGCATCACCCCTCTAGCTGGCCGTGGCTTAGCCCTTCTTGAAGGTCTAAACTAACCTTAGTGGGAAACTTTAAAATAGGGATAGTAACATTTGCTTTTTAAGAAACCACAGCACAAATATCTAATTACTTTCCAAAATGTTATTTCCAAAGACATCAGTATTAGCACCTTTGTTCCCTGCTTTCTAAGTGTAACTTAGAAAATTCTTTTGAAATGTTTACCTTCATTGATGTTTTCTTTTCTATTCTGTTGTTAGATGGCCTTCATAAAACACAAAGTGAAAACGTTTCACTCTCATGTCAGCTTGTAAATGATTATTTTTCACCAAACCAAGACTTCAAAGTTACTTGGTCCAGAGTGGAAAATGGGACTTTCTCTGTCCTTGCTTGCTATCTGAGCTCCTCACAGAATACAACTATCAATGAACCCCGATTCTCATGGAACAAAGAGCTGATAAACCAGGGTGACTTCTCTATGAATTTGATGCATCTTCATCTTTCAGACAGTGGGGAATATTTATGCGATATTTCTTCAGATGAATATACTTTACTCACCATCCACACAGTACATGTAGGTAAGTTATAAGTAGGTTTGGATAATGGGTTTTGGCTGTACCATTGGAGGTTTGTGAATATCAAACAGAAAATTAGGTTGACTTTTCAAGAATACTTTACATTGATACCCTCTCAAAATATAATCTACAGGGATATTTCTGGTCGGGATGTTGATTACCCTCTCTCTTTCAACTACACAAAAGTCCTGTTTTGAAAAAAAATTCCCACAGATTTCCTTTTCAGGATTTTGGGGCTTCAGAAACGAAGAGGAAACATACATTTTGATGACTCTATTGGCTGAGCATCTTCCATTTCTGCTCACTGCTGTGCCTAATATGTACCTTAGGCCTGGGATTTGGGAAGTCAAGGCTAGAGACACATTAGGAGATTATAATTGGGGTCCTGAAAAATGCTGAGAAAACATGGCAGTGTCTGTGGACTGGGAAACAGTCACCACACAATATTTGAAGCACCAAATATATATAGTCTTTGTTCAGTTCATTTTTACCTCTGTTGATAGTTCACTGCCAAAAATATTTCTAGTCAACTTACCATTGAGTCATGGAATATATACTCACGAAGCTGACCTTCTAGGTGAGCTGGATTATCCCACCCTTAAACTATCAACTTCACATCATGGCAGAGCATGGCAACTTTTTCTGTCCTTCAATAAAGATATTTGAACCAGTAGAACTCACGTTTTAGAAATATTTCTATCATTTCAATTAGGAGAAATAACATTTGAAGTTTTGGTGATTCTATGTAGTGAGATTTGGCGATAAGAGCACAGAGGTGTCCTTTAGGCTATGTGATCTTCAAATACATAGAAGCTTCTGGACATTGAGTAATAACACTCCCTTTGTAGAGCTGCCACTTTGAGAGTAGAGAATGAAAAACTGGGGCTGCATTTGAAGCTCCTATTTTTCTCCAAAAATAAAAGTGTCAGTTTTATGTAAAATACAGTTAAGCCTGCAATCTATTTTTAAAAATGTTGCCTCATGTTGGATTCATTTTGGAGTGTAAAAAAAAAAAGTCAAGAAGAAATGTCCTAAAGACCACATATGGCCCATCTTCCCACCCAAAGATCTAATTTTCAGTTCACAAAAAGTGAAACATCAGGACCATTCCATCTCTAACAAAAGAGTATTTTTAGAACCTCTCATTCTCAAGTAAATGTTGGCCAGGTGGGGCTGGGGGAGGATGTGCTCACCCTTTCCCACCACCTCAGCAGGGCAGGGAACAGGGCAAAACAATCTTGGTACCGTAAATATCATCCTTTCAAGGAACTTGGTTTCCTATTCTGAATTGTGACTTTTCCATTTGCTGCCTTTCCCAGGAGGTGCTACAACAAGGTAGGGGTAATTATAATTCCTTGAATCTAGACCTGCTCTATTAAGACTGCACTAAGCTGAATGGAATTAAATAATTCTTGCTAAGTTTTGATGCTGAATCAGCATGTGACCTTAGGCAAGTATCTTTACAGATGGGGGAACCTGAGGGTCATGAGTGAAGTGAGAAGTAGCTATACCTTGTAGGATTTCCTTTCGGAGGAAGAAAAAACACTTTAGAAAGTTAATCTAACATGTCTACTTAATCTCTCATTTATATAGGTACAGCAGTCCCCCCTTTCCACGGGGGATATGTTCCAAGAGCCCCAGTGGATGCCTGAAACTGTGGACAGTACCAAACCCTATATGTGCATTTCCACATGGTACCAGGATTAATCTGTTCTTCCATGTTTATGCCTCGGTGCCTCATTCACACTTCTATGAATGCAGGTTCTACTGGGCATCTTCTAGCACAGCTTGTTTTCATTGCAATTAAATGCTTGCTTTGGACGGAAATGTGGCTGTAGCTTCATCATCAGCAGACACAGCCTCCCCAGTAATTTTTATATTTTTCAGTCCAAGCTTATTTCTAAATCTGTGTAGCCATCCTCTACTTGCAGTAAATGGCCTGTTTCAAAGGATCTCTTGCTGAAGTCTTCATGTAAGCCCAAGGCTTTCCAGTGCAACATGTTGTCAACCAGAACACATTTCTGTTCATGTCTTCCACCCTCAAATTTAATGCCATTTCCATCTTAAGTCAGCACATACAACACACTGTGGCCATGACTGTTGTAGTTTGAGATGTGAAAGCAAAACTAATGTCTTTTCTTTTTTCTTTCTTCACAATTTTGCAGATAGAAGATTCATTTTCAACATAGATCTAGCAACCCCAATATGTGCTTTTTCTTAAGTCAAGAGTTTTAATTGTTTCAGTTAAAGGAAGCTCTTTATGGGTTCTTTTTGGTATCTCTAAATTGCCATCATCACTTCTCTTGTGCTTTGGGGCCATTCTTAAAGAAAATAAGGGTTACTTGAACACAAGTATCGTTATGCCGTGACAGTCAATCTGATAACTGAGATGGCTACTAAATGAGCCATGGCAGTAGTGTGTACAACATGGGTATGCTGGACAAAAGGTGCAGTCACGTCCCAGGTGGGATGGAGTGGCACAACACATTTCATCATGTTACACAGAATGGCACACAACTTAAAACTTACGAGTTGTTTATTCCTGGAATTTTCCATTTGGTTATGTTTGGACTACAGTTGACCATGGGTAACTGAAACCTCAAAAAGTGAAACTGTGTTGGTAAAGGGGACTCCTGTATAGAATTTCTGAATGATACAAATATGTGGAGAGATTAATATTTTATTAGTTGTAAAACACTATAATGTGTTCATAGAAAATGACATTTGGTATATAAACAGAGCTATTCATTTGAAAGGATAGCCACAAACATCTTCCCCCTGAATTGGCCTTTGTGCTCAAATGCCTGCTGCCCATATTTTAGTAGAACATAGATCACAAGGTTAGCAGGGTTCTGACTTTGGTAACCCAGGGTCTCTGGAGTCCCCACTTCCATTAATTGTTGAATAATACGTATTTCAACAATTCTAGTCCTAACTGAGATACTAGAGAAGGTTTAGGCTCCTCCAGTTATTTCTGAGGAGCTCCAAACACTACCAGCCGGTCCTCCTTTGCTGTAGTTTGTTACCCAAAGTCAACCACAGTCCGAAATTTCTAAAAGGAAAATTCCAGAAATAAGTTTTAGATTGTGTGCCATTCTGAGTAGCATGATGAAATCGCATGTCATCTGGCTCCATCCTGCCTTGGATGTGAATCCTCCCTTTGTCCAGCATATCACACTGTGGATGCTACCTGCCTGTTAGTCACTTAGCCCTCCAGGAAATCAGATCCCTGTCACGAAATAGCAGTGCTTGTGTTCAAGTAACCCTTATTTTACTTGGCCTCAAAGCACAAGAATAGTGATGCTGGCGATTCGGATACACCAAAGAGAAGCCACGAAGTGCTACCTTTAAGTGAAAGCTCTCGGTGGAGTGGGGGGATGGGGGAAAGCATATGTTGAGGTTGCTAAGATCTACAGTAAAAACGAATCTTTTGTCTATAAAACTGTGAAGATGGAAAAAGAAATTAGTGCATAGTACACATAGGGTTTAGTTCTAAGGTTTCAGGCGTCCATTTGGGGGTCTTGGAATGTATCCCCCATGGATAAGTGGGGACTACTGTGCCTATTATCTCTGTGGTCACCTGTCACCTCTAACTCAAGCCCATGGCTTCTACTCAGCTCCTTTAATCACCTTTGAACTTATCACTGTTCCCTTAGGACCCTGTCTTCTCTAAGCTAGTGGTGGACTGCACTCTTACTTCATCCTCACTGAGGCTAGTTTATGGACACAATTACTCCTTTATAAAAATGTGTTACAGTACAAAGCAATAGAAACTGAAAATCCATAATAGACTTACTGCCTCTCCAGTTTTCAGACTTTTCTCCCAGCTTCCCCAAGCCCCACCAATCTCCAATAATATTATGATATCTGGAGGTTTCCCACAATAGATACACTGAGACTGGGAGATATTTATGCTCAAGACAAACTCTCCTATCCAGTCTTGGCTCTTGGCTTTATCCTAAAGGACCTTTTTATTGTGCAAAATGTTTTCATATGAATTCAGCCTCCTACCTGTAATGCAGAAACAACTAGTTTTAAAAATAGTAAACATACTCCACCCTCACCCACCCACACATTTCTTATTTGGTAATTTTTCTTCCAGTTCACAGACTTTGTTTCTCTGTTTTATTTAGAATCAAGCCAAGAAACAGCTTCCTGTGACAAAGGTTTACAGATTTTGGTGTACTGTCTGATTCTGGCAGTTCCTGTAGCTCTTCTGATTTCGGCAGCTATTTGGATTTATCGGGTAAAACATTGCAGAGGTAATATCTCAGGAAGAATTTGAGCTCTGCCCCAGGTGTTCCACATCATGTGTCCTAAAGATAACATGGAAATACATGCCCCATCCAAAATCTTTTAAAATGCTCCTACATTTCCACCTAACCATTCTACTTCTAGGAATTTATCTTGCGTTACCTGAGCAGAGGTACATCAAACTGTATACAAGCATACTTATTGCAGCACATTGCCACTGGTTTTAGATTTCCTACTATTGTCAATAAATAATTGGGTAATTAATTAAGTTAATTAAAGATCATGTGTAATTTTTAAAATTTAATCTAGCATTAAAATGATAACCAGGGTGACTTAATCATTCTGCATTGAAAGCTATCTGGAAAGAAAAAAGACAAAGCTTTAAGCAGCTGCCTTTGGAGTGATAGGACCATGAGTTCTTCCTTACCCTCACACCTCAGAAGGAACCTAGATACCTCCTTAAGTCCCTGGGCTCTGCTTGTTCTCCTTTGCTCTGAGCTTAGTCAAGGTTGGTGCTGTAATCGGAAATTGGTTCTTATGGGTCATTTCATTTTAATTGTTGCTGAATTAAATTTCTTTTCTAAATTTTATGCAAGAAACCTTACTGTTTATAGTAATTTAAAGTATCTTAAGGTGCCATGGTCATGTGAAGTATGTTTAGGGAGTACTTTCCTAAAGTACTTTGCTTTTACTTACAAAATTTTGAGCTAGAGGCCATCTGGGCAAAACTTAGATCTAGTAGATCTCCACATTTTACAAATCAGGAAACAGGAATCCCGGAAGTTAGCTCAAGTGCTAAGGAGGTATATATAATAGATTTAGGTGGCTTGTCTAAGATCACTGAGCCAGCTAGTGGCAGAGGCAGGTCCAGGCCCCCAGAAGCTCTTCCTTATTCCATTATCCCCCTGAGAAGGCTCTGAGTGTCCTGGGAACTTGAGATAGATCCTATGTCCCTTTTATATGTTCTTCTGGTTGATATTTGCTTATTGCCTCTGCTGAAGTTAGGAAATTTGGGTTATAGCAGAAAGCATTTTTGAAAATAAAGTTTTATTTATTTAATTTTTTAAAAAAATTATTTAACTATAGGTGCATACTATATCTGGCATTTCTCCCCATGTTATCCCTCCCCACCCTCCCCTCCCTCCCCACTCTCCAACTGCCTCCAGTGTGTGATGCTCCTCTCCCTGAGGCCACGTGTTCTCATTGTTCAACATCCTCCTATGAGTGAGAACATGCAGTGTTTGGCTTTCTGTTCTTGTGTCAGTTTGCTGAGATTGGTGGTTTCCAGGTTCATCCAACTGCCTACAAAGGACATGGACTCATGGTTTTTTATGGCTGCATAGTATTCCATGGTGTATATGTACCACATTTTTCATTGTCCAGTCTATCATTGATGGGCATTTGGGTTGGTTCCAAGTCTTTGCTATTGTACAGAGGGCTGCAATGAACATATGTGTGCATGTGTCTTTATAGTAGAATGATTTATAGTTCTTTGGGTATATGCCCAGTAATGGGATTGCTGGGTCAAATGGAATTTCCATTTCTAGATCCTTGAGAAATCACCACACTGTCTTCCACAATGGTTGAACTAATTTACACTCCCACCAACTGTGTAAGAGTGTTCCTATTTCTCCGCATCCTCTCCAGCATCTGTTGTCTCCAGATTTTTTAATGATCGCCATTCTAACTGGCGTGAGATGGTATCTCAATGTAGTTTTGATTTGCATTTCCCTAATGACCAGTGATGATGAGCATTTTTTCATATGTTTGTTGGCCTGATATATGTCTTCTTTTGAAAAGTATCTGTTCATATCCTTTGCCCACTTTTGAATGGGGTTGTTTGTTTTTTTCTTGTATATCTGTTTTAGTTCTTTGTAGATTCTGGTTATTAGCCCTTTGTCAGATGGGTAGGTTGCAAAAATTTTTTCCCATTCTGTTGGTTGCTGATTTGCTCTAATGATGGTTTCTTTTGCTGTACAGAACCTCTGAATTTTAGTTAGATCTCATTTGTCTATCTTGGCTTTTATTGCCATTGCTTTTGGTGTTTTAGTCGTGAAATCCTTGCTTATGCCTATGTCCTGGATGGTTTTGCCTAGGTTTTCTTCTAGGGTTTTTATGGTGTTAGGTTTTATGTTTAAATCTTTAATCCATCTGGAGTTAATTTTAGTGTAAGGTGACAGGTAGGGGTCCAGTTTCTGCTTTCTGCACATTGCTAGCCAGTTTTCCTAACACCATTTATTAAACATGGAGTCCTTTTCCCATTGCTTGTTTTTGCCGGGTTTGTCAAAGATCAGATGGTTGTAGATGCGTGGTGTTTCTTCTGGGGCCTCTGTTCCGTTCCATTGGTCTATGTCTCTGTTTTGGTAACAGTACCATGCTGTTTTGATTATTGTAGCCTAGTTGTAGTATAGTTTGAAGTCCAGCAGTGTGATGCCTCCAGCTTTGTCTTTTTGCTTAGGATTGTCTTGGCTATGCGGGCTCTCTTGTGATCACATAGGAAGTTTAAAGTGATTTTTTCCAGTTCTGTGAAGAAAGTCCTTGGTAGCTTGATGGGGACAGAATTGAATTTATAGATTACTTTGGGCAGCATGGCCATTTTCATGATAATAACTCTTCCTAACCACGAGCCTGGAATGTTTTTCCATCTGTTTGTGTCCTCTCTTATTTCATTGAGCAGTGGTTTGTAGTTCTCTTTGAAGACGTCCTTCACATCCTTTGTTAGTTGTATACCTAGGTATTTTATTCTCTTTGTAGCAGTTGTGAATGGTAGTTTGCTCTTGATTCGGCTGTTTGGCTGTTATTGGTATATAGGAATGCTTGTGATTTCTACACATTGATTTTGTATCCTGAGACTTTGCTGAAGTTGCTTTTCAGTTTGAGAAGATTTTGGGCTGAGACGAACGGTCTTCTAGATATACAATCATGTCATCTGCAAATAGAGACAGTTTGACTTCCTCCTTTCCTCATTAAATACGCTTTATTTCTTTTTCTTGCCCAATTGCTCTGGCTAGAACTTCTAATACTATATTGAATAGGAGTGGTGAGAGAGGGCATCCTTGCCTAGCGCCACATTTCAAAGGGAATGCTTCCAGCTTTTGCCCATTCAGTATGATACTGGCTGTAGGTTTGTCATATATACCTTTTATCATTTTATGATACATTCTGTCAATACCTAGTTTATTGAGGTTTTAGCATGAAGCCTGTTGAAGAAGGCCTTCATCAAAGGCCTTCTCCGCATCTATTGAGATAATCGTGGTTTTTGTCTTTGGTTCAGTTTATGTGATGGATTACATTTATGGATTTGCCTATGTTGAACCAGCCTTGCATCCCCAGGATGAAGCCTACTTGATCGTGATGGGTAAGTTTTTTGATGTGCTGTTGCAATCTGTTTGCCAGTATTTTATTGAAGATTTTTGCATTGATGTTCATCATGGATATTGGCCTGAAGTTTTCTTTTTTAGTTGAGTCTCTGCCTGTTTTGGTATCAGGATGATGTTGGTATCATAAAATGAGTTAGGGAGGATTCCCTCCTTTTGTATTGTTTGATGCATTTTCAGAAGAAATGGAACCAGCTCCTCTTTGTATGTCTGGTAGAATTCAGCTGTGAACCTGTCTGGACCTGGAATTTTTTTGGTTGGTAGGCTATTGATTGCTGCCTCTTCTTCAGCCCTTGCTATTGATCTATTCAGGGTTTCAACTTCTTCCTGGTTTAGTCTTGGTAGAGTACAAGTGCAGAGGAATTTATTGATTTCTTCCTGGTTTACTGGTTTATGTGCATAGAGCTGTTTGTAGTAATCTCTGATGGCAGTTTGTATTCCTGTGGGATCAGTGGTGATATCCCCTTTATCGTTTTTTATTGCATCTGTTTGATTCTTCTCCCTTTTCTTTTTTATTAATCTGGCTAGCAGTCTATTTTGTTGATCTTTTCAAAAAGTCAGCTCCTGGATTTATTGATTTTTGAAGGGTTTTTTTGTGTGTCTATCACCTTCAGTTCTGCTCTGATTTTAGTTATTTCTTGTCTTCTGCTAGCTTTTGAGGTTTTTTTTTATCTTCCTCCTCTAGCTCTTTCAATTTTGATGATAGGGTGTCAGTTTGAGATCTTTCCTTGTTTCTCTTGTGGGCATTTATTGCTATAAATTTCCCTCTCGACACTGCTTTAAAGGTGTCCCAGAGATTCTGGTAAGTTGTGTCTTCATTCTGATTGGTTTCGAAGAGCATCTTTATTTCTGCCTTCATTTCGTTGTTTATCCAGTTGACACTCAGAAGCAAGTTGTTCAGTTTCCAAGTCGTTGTGCGGGTTTGAGTGTGTTTCTTAATCCTGAGTTCTAGTCTTATTGTGCTGTGGTCTCATAGGCTGTTATGATTTCCATTCTTTTGCATTTGTTGAGTGATTTGCTTCCAATGATGTGGTCGATTTTAGAGTAAGTGCAATGTGGTGCTGAGAAAAATGTATATTCTGTGGCTTTGGGGTGGAGCGTTCTGTGTATGTCTATTAGATCCACTTGGTCCAGGTCTGCATTGAAGTCCTGGATATCCTTGTTAATATTCTGTCTCATTGATCTAATATTGACAGTGGAGTGTTGAAATCTCCCACTATCGTTGTGTGGGAGTCTAAATCTCATTTTAGGTCATTAAGAACTTGCTTTATTTATCTGGGTGCTCCTGTGTTGGGTGTGTATGTATTTGGGATAGCTAGCTCTTCTTGTTGGATTGATCCTTTTACCATTATGTAATGTCCTTCTTTGTCTCTTTTGATCTTTGTTTGAAGTCCGTTTTATCAGAGACTAGGATTGCAACCCCTGCTTTTTTTTTTGTTCTCCATTCGCTTAGTAAATCTTCTTCCATCCCTTTATGTTGACTCTATTTGTGTCTTTGTATGTGAGATGGGTTTCCTGAATACAGCACACTGACGGGTTTTGACTTTTTATCCAGGTTGCCAGTCTGTGTCTTTTGATTGGGGCGTTTATGCTGTTTACATTCAATGTTTCTATTGCTATGTGTGAATTTG